TAATACTTACATCAGTGAAATATTAATGGGCAAAATCCACCATATTTAAAATTTAATCCAAGTACACGTCAAACTGGAAAGGATAACAGCAACATTACATGTTCATTATGTATGGTATCCTTTACTTTACCAGTTTCACATCTGTTTTTAGCTAACTTCCCCTAAATCCCATGAGGAAGGCCAACCTACATGAGCATTACATGACGGTTCTAGAGAATGAACACACTAAACTTTCTTGAAATGGAACTACAGGCAGTCCCTGATTTACAAAGGTTCAGTTTATGAAACTCCTAAAAAAAAAAATTATATATATATATACAGTATATATATATATATATATATATATATATATATATATATATATATATATATATATATATATATATATATATATATATATTCCATAATTTGATTTACAAATTAAAAATTCAGTTACAAAAAAAAATTGTAATAATGAAAATGAGAAAATATTGCATGTTTTCCTTTTGACTACCAATATGCTTACTTACCTCATTGTTCTCGAATGTTCATTATGTAATTAAGTCTAAAAATAAGCCCTTAATGTGTCATCCTTTTCCTACAATCACCATACAACTTATTCCTCAAACTCATTGGGCACAAGTAGACTCATCTCCACCAACAGTCACCCAACCAGTTGACTGTCAAATTTCTCTTCATTTATTCTCCTGTAATTTGTGACAAATTAAGTCAAGGAAAATCACTGTACTGTATTCTTAAGTTTCATATGGTAATTGTATACAATAAAAGCATGGAATTTTTAAGTGAATAAAAGTTTGGAGGTGTGGGTATTAACAGCAACAAATGAGAGAGCCTGTGTAGCATGAGTTGACTGACAGCAATGTTCGAACCATGTAAACAATGCAGCTGCAATTTAGTATGATGCAATAACTCGTCAAGGGTTGGGTGTAGGAATTTTTTATTTTTTTTTTAGAGAACATCTCTCTAATAATAGAATGGAAATCTAGGTAAAACTACAGTACCTACTGTAATATATTTACCTGTACTATATACAGCACTGTACAGATCTTGGCTTAACATTTTATACTTTATTTCATATCTCATCCCACTTTACATAAGTAGTTATAAAATTATTACTGTACTGTACTGCCCAAAAATATTTTTTATGTTTTGTGGCATTTTAAGACCTTCTGGGTAAGAAATTTTTCTTACGAACATATCGCAGCTTTCATAATGGTAGTCTATAGGAAAATGTGAACCGAATTACAAAAGGTTTTCAGGAACAGAACCTATTTGTAAATTGGGGAATGCCTGTACCACTACTAATTAGAATTCAAAAGTTGGGAATCCCAAATCTTAACTACTGTATAATGATGCACATCAGTTTAAATGAACAAAAGTAAAAATAACAATCAGCCCATTGAAACAATATTGACAAAAGAAATCAAAACATCTCAATCATTATGAATTAGTACACTGAAAAATCGCACATGAAATTAAAATTCTCTTACCAAAAGTACATGTATCCCTCGCCACGAACGTTTGCTCTGTGAATATTTGCTAATAAAAATATTCTATTCTTACACCACTTTTCACTATACAAACCCCATGTTCCCTTATGGCTAATGTATTAAATTTATATTTCATTAATTTCTTAATGAGCTAGGTGCTAAATAACACTAATTAGGTATGTTTTTTGTTGTTTGTGAACATACTTCATTCTTTAGGTACTGGTACTGTATATACTTGTACAGTACTGTCCATAGGAGGTTTCTTGTAGTTAGTTAATAAACCACAATACAGTAGTTAGGTACAAATTTATAGTAGATAGGTTAGGGCTTTTTGTTGCTTGCAAATCTAATTCATTTTGTCTCAGTATAATATTGAGGTTTTCTTGTCACTGGGCAACCATACTCTACTTTTTCCCATGTGTTATATTATTTGATATAAAAAGTAATATTTCCGTTAGCTGGAATCCCTCAAACCCGGAATTGAAATTTTCTCAGAAAATTGTTCCCAAAGCCGGAATTTTCCGGCTTCAGGAAAGATTTTTTCGAGGGGCACATTTTCCACAAAATTCTGAGAAATTTTTCCCGATACGTACCTGGAAAATTCCGGGGTATGAATTTTTTTTTCCGGGTTTCAGAGATGAAGATGAGGTGCATTTTCTGGAAATTGCGAGAATTTTTTTACAATACCCGGAAAATTACAGGAATGAGAGAGAACTTTCCATGTTTGAGAGATGATGCAATGGGCTATTTCTGGAACTTCTGAGAAAATTTTTCCGTTACCAAGAAAATTCTGGGGATGAGGGATTTATTTTTGTATTTTTATTTTTTCTGGCTTTGAGAGAGTCGTCTCGTTACCCGGAAATCTTCCATTCCCGGAAGTGCTCTGCACTAATTGTTCTGGCTAACGGAGATATCACTGTATTCACTTAACAAATGATTTGAAGAAACCTAACCCATTCGTATAGTGAGGGATACCTGTTTTGATTTACACAAATATCCTTTTATCAAATTTCAGCAATACTTTTTTAAGTACAGTACAGGAAAACTGTAGTACTGTGAACTTTAAAATGGAACCTGAGTTTTCTTGGCTTATGAAAAGACTTCAGTATCCATTTAAAACATATCCATGAACCCCTTCATTGATACATAAAATGGTATTGTACTAGGAATATTTAATATGTTGTGAAAAAGGATGTCAATGGTAGCTAAAAACAGAAGCCTGAATTAAATAAACTACATTACAGTGTCACTCATGAAAATTTTTACTTTTTTTTCTGCCTGGGAATAATATTCATTGTATTAACAAGACCTTCTCCATCTTGAATTCCCTCAAAAAATATTGATCTCAAATATTGTGTTCATATTATGCTTATGTTAAAATTTGAATTAATCTGATCCCAAAATCTCTAATACTGTACTCAAATTCAAGAATAATATGATACTCCCAAATGTAGGTAATTAGTCTTCCCTTATCTTCACTAACCTTCAATAACTGGACTGACCTTAACAGTTGATCAGCTCTCTAATGCTCTGGTTGATGAATTTATAACTGAAATTTTAAACATCTGATCCAATCATTTTTAACACTTACTACAGAAAATTAAAGGAAAAAATATCTCCTGGTGAAAGGAGGGAAGTTGCCATTAGTCCCAATAAATTAATCGAGCAGTTATCAGGTACCAAACTAAAAAATTATGGAGTGGAAAAACCTCGATCATATATATTATAGATTATCACCGCCGCCAGGAAGAAGAGGTGCTCATTATCTATTTACGATCCTATCATTTATAGATTAATAACATATCTGCATTCATCACAACAGGCACTACCATGATATGATTCTCTTTCAGTGATGGATTTTCATCGATGATCTTTCATGGTGATTTCAACCAGAACAGATTTATCACTAGCTGATAACTGATAACCATAATGAACAATTTAGGGAAGTTCTGTACAGGACTGGACTTTTCTATTTTCTTTCCGAGTACTGTATGCACTTTGATGACTCAAGGCTTTCGTTTCCCTAATTGCTGGAATTTTCGAGAAAATTCCAAGTTAGGAAATGATTTTCAGAAGGACACATTTTCCGGAAAATTCTGAAAAAATTTTCCCAATACGCGGAAAATTCTGGGGATGGGGGATTTTTTTCTGGATTTGAGATGAAAATCAGGCACATACGTATTCTGGAAATTCGGAGGAAAAGTTTTCCGGTACTGTACCCGGAAAATTCCAGGGAACGGGTATATTTTTCCGGGTTTGAGATGATGTAATGTGCAATTTCTGGAACTTCCAAGAATATTCTTCCATTACCCGGAAAATTCTGGGAATGGGGGATATTTTTCCGGCTTTGAGAGAGTCATCTCGTTACCCGGAAATCTCTCATTCCCGGAAGTGCTCTGCACTAATTGTTACGGCAAACGGAGATATCACTATTACGAAATTTGTAACATATATTTCATAACAGGAAAACATCACAAACTATGAATTGTTTCAAATTGTTTCAATGCATTTCATGTTTAAAATATATCAAAGCCATATCCTGCAATAAAATATGAATAGCCTTCTGGAAATATTGTTAGAATTGGAAAAAAATTTACATTCAACTGTTATGAACTAAATATACAGTACAGCAAGCCCTGACAATTCACGGATTTTTAATTCACAGCCCTCGATTATTCGCGGATGACACCCTGGATGTAGTTTTAAAGTTGCCGGCATTTTTGCAACCAGGACAGGGAGCCATTTCTTCTAGACAGCAATTTCTTTTACCTGTATTGTATATATGTGTGTGTGTGTGTAGACATAGACACACACACAAAACACATACAACTAAATAATAATGGGAAAATCCTCTCACAAATAATCCGAAACATGCCAACAAAATGTATCAAAATGTAGAAAAAAATGTGAGTCAACCCTCAAGTCAACTCTGTCCTTTGTTATTAAAGTTGAGTTTTGTGTGTGTGTGTGTGTCTACACACACACACACACATATATACAATACAGGTAAAAGAAACAATTGTTGTAAGGGCAAATACATAAAGGGAATACAGTATACAGCTCCTCCCCGACTTATGACGGGTTAGGGACCCAAATCCAGGTCGTAAGTCGAAAATGCTTAAATAATACATAGAAAATCTAAAATGGTTCTCTTTTTCTTCTCACTTTTAAGCTTGCCAGCCATTTTAAAGTGAATTACAAACAAAAATTTTGTCAGTACACTGACGTTGGGACTCGAAAATACGTAATTTGACAAAATTTTGGTACGACTAAGGCAGGTCGTAAGTGCGGGTGGTGGTAAGTCGAGTAGGTCGTAAGTCGGGGAGGAGCTGTACATTTCTTTGTGGAGTTGACTATTCGCAGCCATTCTGAAACCCAAACCCCTGCGAATTTTAAAGGCATACTGTACGTATATTAATTTACTACAAAATCACATTGCTATAATCAATAAAGTAACTCAATTATTTATCAAATTGCAAACTTTTAGGAATGAACATTCAAAGTCACGAGTAATTAACCAAATTATTTATCTTAGAAGTCTGATCCATTCTCGACCACCACTAAACAGCCCAATGTAATATGTAAATCACACTTTGTACAGAATCTTATTTACAAAAAAGTGGATATTTCTTTCAAATATCTGAACTCCTCAGCAGACTAAACTTTTGTTCAGAAGAGTAATCATCGAGACATACAGTAATTATAATCAGATTTTTGGCTAATACTGTATACTTCAGTATGAAATCTCTCAAAAACTTGGAAAAAATATGGCTATTGGCTGTTGAAAAAGTTCATTAAAGCTCACCCACAACAAAAGCACAATCTCTTCCCTATGCATTACTTTCTCTTAGTAGCTAACTTGTATGAATTTCTGTAGTAGTATATGTATGGGTCATGAACACCAACACTATTGATAACAGAGCGACGGCCCAACCTCTGAACTTCCGCTGGTACAATGTGACGCTCAAGCTATGAAAAAATAAATAAATTAGAAGAGCAGGTAATGAAAAAGGAAAACATTAAAACATTCAGACTTTATCCTAGATTAAGTTTTGTGCCTGTCTAAATGCATAAAAAAGAAGTTTATATATGAATGCAAATATTTCATAAGAAATTGCCTCAAATCATGGAAAGTTTATCTTTTATCAAAGAACAGCAGAAGAGTGTAATTTTGGAGCTGACAGTAGACATTATTAGACAGCACAAATGTAGTAAAGAATCAACAGTTGAAAATTGGCTGCAAGAAGGAAAATATGATACACACACTTCTCAATAAATCATTCATTACTGCAAGGGACAAATTTTTATACATTCTTACAGTTATTACAAGCTGATTTTTTTTTGTTTTATCATCATCATAAAATAGGTAAAAATGGATATACAGTAGATGGACGAGTTGGTTAACTAATTCTGGGTGGTCAGTTGATGAATGGCAGTGAGTGCAGATCATGCATACACCTGTCAAGGTTTCGCTTCTATTCACGGGCTTGGCAAGAAGATGGAGGTCCTGATGAATAAGAGGAAGGAATCACCAAGTGGAACACCCATCCCTGACAAGCGAGGACATCATCCATCCACCAGGGCCATCACAGGAAGCCGCCTGCAGCATGTGCACGATCACATTCGTGCCCTGCCAGTGCTCGCTAAGCATTACAGCCATGCACACAGCCCTTACAGGCAGTACCTAGAGGCCGGGTGCAGCAACTCTGAACTCCACAGCAGCTACCTGGTGTGGATGAGCGAACATTATCTTCATGAAGAAACTGTCTCCGAGTTTTACCACACTATGTTCACGAGGGACTACAACATCGTGTTCCGTGCTCCTCTCACTGACGTCTGCAACACCTGTGAGAAGCTGGAGACCCAGATCTCTTCCCTCCAGAAGGATGGTCAGAAAACCTGCAATGTGAGGAACACCCTGAGGGAGCAAAAGGCCATTGCACAGGTGCCTTGGGACCTTCTTCACCAGGTGGAGCAGGGTTCTAAAGGCTTGGCCTTTGGGATATAAATCCCTTGCCAGCCTAATCAGGATCTTATAAAAAGGAAAGTCAAAAACCATGGGTTTCCAAGGAGTAATAAACAACCATTAGAGATTGACATCTCTTTACTGTGAAAATAATCACAATAATTTAACTCTGACACCACTCACACAAATATTAAATAAAAACCACTGGAGTCAAACAATTACTTAAAACAAAACAATCAATACAACAAAGAACAAATATTTCCTACGACTGCCGATGAAACTTTCTCCTAACCAGCACAGTAGACGTTCTGATAACGCGGTGATTCGCTCTCAGGGGGGAAGATCCAGGGTAGCTTCCTCACTTGGTGTTGGTGGGCATGTCTTGCCACACAGGAGAGACGCCAGGGAACAAACGGAGGATAGGGCGTGGAGGAAGTGGCAATCGTGTGGCAGCCGCGGCAGTAGCTAGAGTAGGTGACCGGAGTTGACAGCCGAATAGTGAAGGACTGGGGAATCAGCCCACGAGCCCCAGGAACCTCAGAGGAGAACACAACCAGAGTTGGAATCGAACAGCGGGGTGATGTACAGCTGTGGTGATGGCTGGATCGTGTCTCAAATGCTATGAGGCAGCAGCGACCTTCTCGCCTCAGACTCTCCCCCTAGTGGGGCCGCGAACAAGCAAACGAGTGGCTGACAACCGTCCCGCTCGTTACAGCCCTTACAACAGTGGCCCTGTGAATGGTGATGTCAAGACGGTGGCCATCGAACTGCAGTAGACCCTTCCTTGCCCCCATCTATGTGCAAACAAGGCCTACTATAAGCGAAAGTTCTGGGTGTACAACTTTTGTGTGTACGACATGGACAAGCAGGAAGCTAGCATGTTTGTTTGGGACGAGGGGACAGGAGGGGGGGGGGGGATGGGCAGACAAGATTACATTATAACTTACCCTGTTTGCAGTAGAGGAGTCCTTGTCGCGCAAAGCACCTTGGAACAGGTTTGTAACTTGAGCCAAATCCACCAGTATGAAGTCGAGAAATACTAAGCGCAGCTCCCGAAGGAACTTGATGTTCCGGGCCATTCCTTCACACAGGTGAGGCGAGAGAGGACGTTCAAACCACACTGATTCATCATCCTATTAATAATATAGTAATTAATAAATAAAAAACTGGTGAATGAGGCAACAGCCAGATGCATACACTCAGTTATAAGAGGGAAAGAACAAGCGACTCGTGAGCAGCAGCAGCAGCAGCAGCAGCAGCAGCAGCAACAGCAGCAGCAGTAGTAGTAGTAGTAGTAAAGTTTATTGAAAGAGCATGGCAGTTGGAAAGCTGAAAGTATACAGTTACATAATTGGGGAATGGGTCACTTGACTGACAAATAATATACAAGTAACATATGTGATAAGTATGATATATAATAACTAGGTGGGGAGAAGGTTATACTACAAGGCACTTCAACATAGTGAGTAAATAGAAAACAGAGATAAGAAAAATCATTATGTCTTAGAAAAAAGTAAATTTCTCATTTTCTCATGTTACTGACCTGACCTGATACAGTGTCAAGTAACCCACTGTCAGGGTGGGAAATTAGTGGGTATCATGACCTAAGGATGTCTGAAATACCCATGTGGTCCTGAAAAGTATATTACTATTATTATTATTATTATAGGAATATATTATGAAATAGATTAACATAAATGAATTATAGGAATAAAACATGAATTATATTTTACACACTTGGGATCACCTGAAATTTATTTAATGAGCCTGTCACTCGCTCAGTCTGGAGCTCACAGAATGACCAGAAATCGTGAAGATATATTTTCCTGAGCACTAGTCATGGCTAAGATATTATCAACTATGTCATTAAATGATGCCTTCCTATGTAAAAAAAAAGTAATAAATAAAAGCCATTTTAACAAGTATAAGTGAGAGTTTACTGTTGATTCCTCTTCATGCTGTACCCACATAATTGCATCGGTCAGTATAAAATGCACATGGCAAAGAAAGAGTAAATCATAAAGACGATGGTGTAATTAGAAAAAATATAATGCAAAAAGTAACAGAGTTAAAGAATAAATAGTAAAAATAAGTGTTGGTTAGGTGCGCAGTCACCGAAAGGTTTCTACACATTTTTCTTTGCCATCTTTCTTGGTCAAAAACTTTTGAAAGTATTTTTTAATGACAGATCATTACTGTACACATACAGTACTAAGGAAGCTTGTGACAAAAATTTAAATTTTTACAATACAGTAGAACCTCGATAAATCGGACTAATTGGGACAGACCCCAGTCCGAAAAATGCGGATACATGGGGCGGAGGGGGAGGAGTTCGAGATAACACTGCTTTTCTGAACTGTTTTAAAGAAAATCAGCTATGTTATTACTGTACTTCAACAACTAAAGTCTTTAAGTGTATAACAAGGTTATTAAAAGAATATTACATCAACAATAAAAAAAAATATGAAACAGAACTCCCTGGGTCAAAAATCAGACATATAAGTCTGGTTGTCAACAATTCTGTTGTCACCCAGATGATGTTATTTACTGTAAAGTGTAAAATGTAAGTAACTACAGAATTTGTTTCATGAATAAAGAGAAAACTGTTTACTGTACAGTACAGCACTATAAAGATAAAAATAAGAACAAATAAGTGAAGGGGTATATTGTATGAGGAAGACGAATGTTTATCTGGGAGCAGCTGGCAGAGGGGAAGGGGGTAGCATGGTGTGGGTGGCTCCCTCCTCCTCTCTCCCACAAGATTCCTTTAACAGTTCTTTATGCAATTCCACCACAATTCTCATCTAATTTAGGATCATTTGGTGCCAGGTTGATAAAATATTATCCTAAAAGAATCAGCTTCCCTGAAAAAAGAACCCCACACTGAACAACAGGAGTCATTTCATACTCATTTGTTTACAAAGAGCAAACAGCTGATCGGCTTACTACAATGTCTGTCTTCAACACTTAGTAAATTAGTACAGTAGAGTTGTGTATTTATCATCACTTAATAAATACTTTTGCAGTGTATTTATCACCAATTAAATACTATTATAGTGTGTTTATCATCACTACAGTAAAATTATAGCGTAAAATATTATGTATCTGCATATACCCTGGTGTATTCATTAATCATTTGTCTAAGTGTACAAGTACCAAACTGTGTCATCATATAACACTCAAAGGCAGTAAATAATGTTTTTAAGAAGGTATCTTCATATCAAATACTATACAGTGTGTTATAGTGACACCTGTTGTAAGCTGGTTGTTTGCTGAAAGCTCTCACATGAATGCATCTTGAGTAAATAACCTTCTGATACAGCTTATCCTTTTATTTTCAAGTCGTATTACAAATTACATACAGTATTGTATTGTTTCTTTATTACTGAAGATGTTAAATTAATCATGATGAACCATAAACCACATGAGGCCAATCATATGAGAATATAATACTGAATCAATAAATAAATAAACCTGACGAATGCGGAGAAACCTGATCAGCCCCAACCTGCTTACATACTCGAGTGTCTTAGTTCTCAGTAGGCCTATAGCAAATTTGATTAGACCACTGTACAGTATTCAGTAAGTGTTGTTCATTTCATAAGAATTTTTTTTTTAATCTTCCCCATTTCTTTAAAAAAAAAATTTAAAGCATTTCTAGTGACCAGAGCATCTCAAGAGTCCAAAAAAGTGAATTCCTATAGTCTGATTTATCAAGGTTTTGCTGTACAATCACCTCTTGATTTACATTCACTTAATTTGCACGTTTTTGAAAAGAGCGCCATTGCGCCAGGCAGCATAGTGCAGTACCGCATTGCTTTTCTATTTTAAGAAAAAGAAAAAATAGCAGCACCTGAACTTCAGCCATCGTCATCTGGCATCTTGAAAGCTCCCACTTCTCCTCCCCATCACCTGCTCTGTCCTCTGATTCAGATGACTCCTTCCCCCTGTAACCCCCACCTCTCCTCCACCACTAGTTCCCACATGGCATCCCAGCCATCATTCAACATAAATGTTAGCACCAATTTTCATTTAAAACCTATTTTCTTACTACTGTATACAGTAATGAGGTTTGCTTCTATTATTGTTTTATTATTATTTTTGTATTATTATTATTATTATTATATTATTGTAAATAAAACCTACTCAAGGAAATAGATAAACAAATTACAGTTTTTAAGGGATGTTTCCCCTAACCCCTGCCATTTCCTTTATTTCTTATGGGATAATTGTTTGATTTACACATTTTTTATTTACCGGTACACGGCCATTCTCAAGAATGTAACTACCGTGTAAATCAAGAGAAGGCTGTAATATTTCCACTTGCCACTCAGACGACGTAGGTCTTGGCATATCCACGACAATGACGATGCCATTACGAGTAAGTATCAAATAAGCAATAAGTACAATACAGTACATTCATTATAATTATCCATACCCATACCTCCACTGCACTACATTTCACTATCACTTACAGTAATACCTCGGTTTACGAGGTTCTTGTTTACGCGTTTCCACATTTACGCGGTCCCCGCCAGAACCGGAATGCCCAATTTACGAGGTGCATCTACTCATATACGCGGGTGAAGTATAATTTTTTTATTTAGCTCATAAAATTTATACAAATTACCCGGCCAGAATATAATTTACATTGCTGGAATTCTTACAATATGATGATCATTTTAAATATAAACATCATGGATTTTGCATTAGACATACAAATTTCAGATCTTATGTAAGAATTTTGTTTACACCGAGCAAATATGTTATCTTTTGTGCAAAATATATGAAGTGCATATTCAAAATATTCCTGGCCCTGCAAGGAATCCAGCAATGTCAATTATATTATCCTAACTTTAGTCCGAGGTATTATTTATTACTAAAAATGTAAATATACTGTTTTAACCCAAACGTTTCTCTGGTAGAGAGGGAAGGTGGGGCGTGGGGGTTGGGAGGGAGGAGGGACCTAGAAAGTGTGGGAAGAGGGGGGAGCTGGAGGTGGGGTATTTTGATTGATATAGTGTCTGGGTGAAGTATAATTGGCACCGAGAATGTGAACCATCGATTCCAATTTTAACGATTCTTGCCCAGCCCTACTGATCGTGAGGCAAAAGTTGCATTTACATTAAATCAAAAGGCCACATAGGAGTGAATGATGTGTAGTCGGTGAGAGGTGGCAGAGGAGGAGGGTGAGAGGACAACTTGCCACCTCCTGCACTCATCACCCCGTGATTGCTTTATAACCACACCATGCAATTTCAACATAATTCCCATATTATTTAGGTTCATTTGGTGCCGGGTTAACAAACCATTATCGAAAAATAATTAATTTCTCCCCCAAAATCCAACACTCAAATCCAGATGAGCTATAGTGGTCTCTTGTTTACAATACAGAGTGGTATAAGTTGATCGTTCCTGCTCTTCCAAACAATGTTGCCAGCACTCAACACTGGATATTTTGTTATTCGAGTGACCCAACAAAGAGTCACTAGTGATCCCTCGGTGCCTCGGTTAACGAGATTTTGGTTAACGAATTACCTTCCATAAGATTCTTAACTTCGGTTAACGAGCAATCCCTCAATTAACGAGTTTTTAACGAGTGCCCCTCCACATGTTTTCGCTTGCATTTGGCGATCCACCAGCTGTAGTATTAGTCAGCCAATACAGTAATCGGTTCTAGGGCTTAAATTCCTTACTATTTTAGTAAATATCAAAAAGTTCGTACTATTCAATAATTTTAAAAGTTTTATATTAAATTTTTTAGTCATTTTAACAAATATTGAACATACAGTAATTGAAGTATAGGAAGCTAGTTTTTTGCGTGCCAAACAGCCTGTCAACACACCATACAGGCGTCAGTCTCTGTGTCTTTTCAGTGGAGGTAACACCTTGCTTCAGACTCTCTTCAACATAAACGCTTTTTTTCTGTGTTTCCAAGCAAATTATTGGTCATTTTGAAATTTATTTTACATATTGACAATATATAATGCAGTGTTGATTTAAAGAAAATAATCTTGAATTACACCAAGAGAACTAAAAATTTTTGGGTGAAATGGCACCATGGGGTGACTTCTCTTCTACCCCAAATGCCTTCTCTTCTCCCTTCTCCTCCACTCCCATTCTAATTCACATC